ATCACCGACTGTTACTGTAACTGGGTTATGTGAGCCAATCACGTCAGACTCTGAAACAAGAAACAAGAAACAAGCATCATATATACACTTTCTGTTGCAGCATCATTAAACACTGTTCCTCAATTTTCTCAATTCTCAAGTCCCTCCAGGAAGTAACGCAAATTCAACCAATCCCCACGATTGTCCATATTTTAGTCACCAAACTACCAGTGATTTTACTCTCACTCTCACAAGTTTCCTTTTGATGACTGATACAACAAAACAAGGTAACGTAACAAGGTTTGTTAATCTCTCACAAACAGTTTCCTACTTCCACACTTCAGCCCTTCTTCCTCTGACTGTCACACTGTTGCCAGGGGATTGTTGGAGGAGTCAGACGTGCTCCTATTGAAAACACTGCCCCCACTGGTACAGACTCATCAGCCAGGCTATTTTTGTAATTATTTGAAAAACTTAATAAAAAACACAAACTTGCAGATTTTTTTTTCTTTTTCCAATTTTGAGTAATTGTACTTGTACTCGTACCTTTTACTCTGCAACGTTAATGTGACCACTCTACAAATGATCCAATATACAAACAGATTTGTGCATCAGAACTTTCTTAATACTTTTATGACCCCCTCAGATTTATTCGGTGAGCTTTTGCTCAAAATCACACTTGAACGGTCAGTTTTATAAACTGAAACATGTCATCCTGAAACTGTGATTGTTGTTTGTTTATGAAAATAAATGTATTTTTTAACTTGTTCATGGCCTTTTTCTCACATCTTTAATTGATCAACATTTCCTCCCTCATTAAATGACTTTAGGTTTAACACCAGTGCCTGAAAGGTTGGGAACCCCTGCACTTACTATACTTAGCACATTCATGCATCAGTGTTAACAATCTAATAGCCTAATATATCTGTCAGGGGACATTTTACTGCAAAATAACTACTTTTACTCTGACTGATGATTTCATTGCTCATCCTGATGAGCACAATGTAAATCTGCTGCAGTTGGGGCATTATCTGGCCTGATGTTTTAAAGAGAGTTAAATCAAACATTGGGCTTTATCAGAGCATCTGAGCAGCAATTCCAGCAGTTTGTCCATTATATAAGCCCCAGTCAGCGCTCCAATAAACACATTCAGAGTAGTGAAGCTGCCATATTAAACTTTATTCTTACTTTAGATCATCGTGAGCTTCCACAGGTCCACAGTCTAATAGTAGAATGACAGTCTGACAAGGATTAAAACACACAGACACAAATCTGATGAAAACTGGGTCCTCTTACTCTGAGAACGCAAACTTTATATGATTTAAAGGTTAATCTGAATCTAATAAAGGAATGAAATGGCCAGAATATTAGAGTTAAGATTTAAGAGTTAAATGAGTCTTCAGGAGTGATTTTATGAAGAAAAGAAAAAGAAAAACCAACCTGGAGCGTTCACCAGAGAGAGAGAGGACATCAGAAACAGCAGCAACTTCATCTCAGCCGCTGGATAAAGACTGGAGAGACTCTTTCACACGTTGGAAAAGACAATAAATAGAAATAAATTGGGTTCATTAGTAGAGGTTAAGACAGACAGACTGCCGTCCTCCGACTCTGTCTTTACTTTCTGTGCCAGCCCACATTTTATTCTGAAGGGCTACATTTTATTTAAGGGTGCTGCTGTTGTTAGGCTGTCTAATGCTGTTTTATACACACACTGTCTACCTGCTGTGGTTTATAACCATAGACTGTATAATGGGACACATTCTGGACACCTATGTAGTTTCAGACTGGATGCACCACTATTAAAGTTCTCATCTTGAGGACCTGGATCATCCTTCTCCTGCAGGAGGCATAGCAGGATGGCGTCATCACCAACTTCAGTTGTTTCATGTGACCAGAAATCCATAAACATATATTTCTTCCCTTTCAAGTCTATCGTGTTAGATGCATAGGCATATTGAATTTCTAAAGACAATATACTTGACCTCAGAGAGAGAGAGAGAGAGAGAGAGAGAGAGAGAGACTATCTGAGTCTGTGGATATTTCACAAGTAGAGACAGGGAAAGCTTACGGTGCCACATGGGTTTCACTTTTGATGCACTGACTCATTCATAACAATCCTCCTCCACACAAGGCTCTCCTGCTTTTTATGATTTTGGGAGCCGGTGTGTGTGCAAAGCGGAGCAGAGCTATTGGTGTGTGTCAGCCTTAAATAATCTAAACCAAACATCTACAGACAAATAGACATATAATAGACATAGCATATAATTCACTCACATCATCTGCCAGAGAGAGACACATCAACACCAGAAGAAACTTTATGTCAACCTGAGAAGGTTCAATTGGACAGACTTAATCTAGTAAATCTGGACCTGAGACTACATCTTTATCCCTATAAAATCAACATACCAACAGCTGCATTTAATCAAGAATATGCCAGAATCAACATTTACATTTCACAAGGTCTGCATTCAAACATTTTGTACTTGTCTGTACTTGCGTGAGTGTATCTTCACACATCGCTAACTCTGCTCTGTAGTGACGCAATGCAGGGGCAGAACAAGCATTCTTTGCTCAAGAATATGGAATAAATATATGACAGCGTAATCCAACCAATCGCCCTTCATGGGAGTGACGTTTGGGGTCCAGTCAGTAATCAGGACTACACTAGCTGGGACAAGCATTAAATAGTTCAACAGGCTGTTATAAACACTTTATGTGCAAGTAAACAGCAGGATGTTGAGACTTCACTGAAATACAGAGGACATGATAAAACACATCATCGTGCTTGTTTGTTGGCACAGAAATGAGGCTAATGAGGGAATGAGTGAAGGTGATCAGGGCAGACGGGAGTGGCACACATTTGTGGACAGTCTTCTGTGGGTTATACTTATTAGACCCTATTTTCATGCAGACATCTTGAGGTCAGAGGTCACAGGATCCCTTTGCCAAAATGTAGCCTAACTTTGTAGAGTTATTGAGCCTCCTTCCAACATGCTGATACATTGGTACTTTATTTTTTACTTTCAACTCCTTCTTTATTTTCTTCTATGTCGCCTTCTGTTGCTTTTACACTTTGCCTTGATACTTTTCTATGTTTTATGTAAAGCACTTTGATTTGACTTATTGAAATGTTATACATTATACAAATAAAATGTGTCTTTGCTGCACTGCAAATGTTGTATTCTCTAAAGGACTTCCTATAGGGGTTGCTTGTCTTCCAACATACCAGTAGATGGCGGTCTTAACCTTCTTCTTGTGTTACAGTCAGAGACACTGATTGGATAATGATTGATTGTGGCTTTTGTCCTTAACTCTCTCAGTATTCAGTTTCTTGTGTCTTTTCTCTCTGGCGCAGTAAAGATGAACCTGAAGTATCTGTGTTTCAATATTTTACATAAAAACCTTCACTCACTCTGGACAAAACCAGCAAGTGTCTTTGTGTTTATGTGGCTGCTTGCTTCACATCCTGTTCATCTGAAATGTGAAGCGAAAATGAATTTCCTCTCCTGTGGTTTCAGTCTTTTGCTTGAGTTGAGAGTGAACTTTGGTATGACAAAGTAGAGTTTGATTCACACGGTATCTGAGTATCTGAAGCTTTTAGCAACAACACGACGAACTGATTTGGAGACTCTCAGTAAAACATAATTGGCAAACTTTTGGTGGCACGAATGACATCTTAATGGTACTTCAAAAGTGTGATATGTTTTTGCTTTCAAAGAAATGCTAGTGGCTGCTTTATTTCCTGCCATTTTGGGCCAGGATGTTGTGGGGGGCAGCTATAGGTAAAACCTGCCTACAGACATCGACACAAAATGGAGATTGTGTCTCTCTGCCTAATGCTCTGTAAGTAATTCAACTTTTTTTAAATAATTTGTCAACTGATCTCCGTTTTTCTGCCAACCACTTGAACACTTAATGTTTATTGACTTTTCTTGTTAATAATATCCAGATAAATAAAATCATCATATTTTTTAATTTAATGAAACAAAACCAAAAGGTGCCCTGATCACCTAGATATTATAATAAATCTTACAGTTTCAGCACACTAGAGGTGTGAACAGCTAAATTTGTCACAAATTTCCTTGTTATTGAAGATGCTAAATGAATATTTAAAAGCCATCATTGTAAACTCTGCCACCTTCCTGGTTAGACGGATTTCAGTGAGGGGAGCTCCGATGTGTTAAGAGGAGTCACAAAAACTTAATAATTTTTAAAGATCTTTTTAAAGCTGCAATCGCCTAACTCTGGCTGCTTTTCATTAACTGATTGTTCCAAATGCAACTTTGTGGTGTTGTAGGGATCTGCAGATAATATACCAAAACACAGTTACATGGTCAGATCCAATGTAATGCACCGTTGTGTGTAACATTTAAGAATATATAGGATCATTTAAGTAGCATCACACAAAGCAGCAGTTTGTTTTTCACAAGTAAACAAATAGCATCAGTAATCACAATAAATAACACTCCGTACATTAATGATAAGATTTAAAAGGAATATTAAATGACGATTAAAATCAGGAATACACAATGGAAATATCTAAATGAAAGCTGCAATGTTTTTAAATTGTTCTTAAATGTTGGGGTTCTGTGAACATTAGTAACTGCAATCGCTTAAGACTGACTGTCGAACCAAGGATTCCTCATTTGGCAGTTTTGGTTTCTCTGTCCTTGCATCTCTTCCTCGCTTCTCTATTTCACTTCCTCACTGGAGCTAAGACTCAAGGCAAGGAAGCAATAAAGTGAAGCAAGGAGACACATTAGTGTAATGAAAATAACTCTCCGATCGGCAGCTTAACGAGTCAGTGCCAGGGCCCTAGTGCGAAATTATCAAAGCGGGCCTTCCCATCAGAATCAGACGAAACATGAAGTAATGTTAGTGGCAAATTAAAGAAGTTAAAGCATGCAGCTCTAAAATGACCAGTAACAGTGAAATGCACAGTTGACACCAAAATTGAATGAAGACAGACATCCGTGCAATAGAAGATGAGTCATAAAAACAGGGCTAAGACAGTAATAGACTTGACTACTTGGCCAAATCGGTGTCAAAGCACCATAAGAGATTAAAACTTAACTAAACATGACTTTATTAGTGACACTGCACGATGAGAAACTAAATGTGTCATGTCTGCGCATAGACAAAACACAACTGTGTAGATTGATTATTGTACAACATGAAGCCATAAAATGTTTGTATGTAGACGTTTATGTTGTTGTATTGTAAATGGCATCAAGTGTGAGACAGACACACCATGGAGTAAGAAAATACATACACCATGTTATTTGATTGGCTGTATATAAAGTAGGTTCAGCTCACATCAATAAAGATTATGGCAGCGGTGCAGATTACAGCCCTGTACTACTGTGGGCCCTTATGCAATGACTTCACCTGCATATATGATAGTAATAAAAATCTTATTAATTAATAGCCTAACTGTAATTGTTGGCAACAACTACACTTTTACACATCCAACAGACGCAGACTCTGCCTGCTGTGACGAGGTCTGTTCAGAGCATTGACACAAAACAATTTTACAGCTTCCTTAATGTACTGTAAAAATACAACAGTGACCTGGAAGAGGTTAATATGCACTGCACACCTGCAGAGTCTGTACTTGACATATTTGTGTGTGCATTTTGTATCGTATGAACAAACACCAACGTTTTATGGAAATGACAAAATTCTCCTGAAGAACTGTGAAACTGTGCGGTTTAGGTGTGAGAGTGAGAACACAAGAACTACAGAGATTAATCATAATTGCTATTAATAACATTACTGAGCAATATACGTAATAGGATCAGCTTAATGTGTAAGCATTCGAAACATATACTTTACAATGTGCATGAACTGGTGAAGATGTAACAGCTTCATTTCTTAAGAACAAAGTTCAGGTATCAGAATGGTATAAAACATCTCTACAACTAACCACAAATAAATTAAATCCATTCACAATTGTTTCAGGTTTCACCCCCATTGCAGCCGCACTGAGCATCAGTCCCAACAGATCTCAGTTCTTTCGGTATGAAGAAATCTATCTGAGGTGTGAGGAGAAGGAAAACTCCACCGGCTGGATGGTGAAAAGAAACACCTCCGATTCGACATCTGAAGTGTGCAAGTTTGGCTGGGCCATCCCAGGTGAGTCCTCCTGCACTATCGAGGATGCCTACCCAACAGACACAGGAGTGTACTGGTGTGAGTCTGAGCAGAGGGAGTACAGCAACAGCATCAACATCACAGTGACAGGTTTGTTCGTTTTTATGCCATTTTTCTGTGTCTTTACATTAAACAAACTTTTTAAACTCAAGTAACCAGGTGTTGTTCTCTATTCCAGCTGGTGCTGTGATCCTGGACAGCCCTGTACTTCCTGTGACAGTGGGAGACACTGTGACACTTCGCTGTTCCTATAGGAAAGGAGACCGAGATGACTCTACTTCAGATTTCCCTGCTACGTTCTACAAAGATAATGTTTTCCACGGTACTGAGAGAGGAGAGATGATCCTTAAATCGGTGTCCAAGTCTGCCGAAGGTTTCTACGAGTGTGAATACCCCGGAGAAGGAAAGTCAGAGAAGAGCTGGCTGGCTGTGAGAGGTGACACGATGTTCTGCCTCCCATAAACCGTAGTCCTTAACTTAAACATTCATTTAGATGAGGCAGTTTCTCTCCTTTATGTATGTCCTCTTGTTGAGCAGTATGGCACTTTTTGGAAATTGTTTTTAAACTTTACGTGAGATTTGAATGAAAGCAACTGTTAATAACACATGTTTGCAACTCTTCCTCACAGCCAGAGCTCTGCCTATATATGTACCAACCACTCCTCCTCCTCCTCATCCTCCTCTGATGTCTCTGCCCAACCTGGTGTGTATCATTCCTGCTGTTCATCCTCTACACTGGCATACTCATCCTGTGTATATCCATATACAGAAGGTTGGCTCGAGGTAAGAACACCTCAATACATTGATCATCTTTTCTGTTGGCCTCCTCCACAAGGGGTCAGAGGGGCAGGGACAACTCTATTGACCTTTTCAGCCACAAGGAAGTTGTGAACTTTTTGAACATAACATAGAGTATGAATGTCCGACATAGCCAGAAGAACATTAAAAGCTGGTTTTAGAAGAGGCACGTAACCTGCCAATTTGCATACAGCGCAGTCTGTTACAAACTTTCTTCCTTTAGTTGAGTTCAGATAGCTTTTGCACAGAAACATCCAGGAAATGACAAAGAGTAGAGTGTGTGAACGCCTCTGCATGTTGTGCCCCGTGATGTTGAGTGGATGACGTGAGCCTGTGGTTGTGGCTGTAACAAGCTGAGAGTAAAAGCAACAGAGCTCAACCGCAGCAACGACACTAGTGTTAATCATTCAGGAAGAGAAAGAAGAACAAAGGAACAACAAAAAGGCAGAAAAGACTTTGGCTGAATGGTGTGCAGTAGAGTGGGGTTAACACATTTATAACAATGGGTTTTCAGGGCATTGAAGAGAAGGAGTTTCTCCTAGTTTGTCAAATGTTCCTTATGTGTAATTCAATTCTTGTAGAACATGATTATTAGTAACTCCAATAACAATGGTTTCCCTGCAGCTCAAGCTGGTGTTTCTGATCATCTCATACCAGAATGATGAAGAAAACAAGAAGGACGAAGCATTTTGTCATTCACATTAAACAGCCAAAGCTACTGGGAACAATATAAATATTTTTTTTACTTTTTATCTTATTTTTGTCATTTAACAATACACATACATATATATATATATATGATGAACATATAAACATGACATTCTAAATGTTGTTTTTCTATACTGTCTTTCAATAGAGCTCTCGTCATAATTTCACTCTGTTATCACAGCAGCGTATTTCCGTAATAAATTATTTTCTTAAGCACTTATGAGTGGTGTTGGTGTTTTCTGTTTGTTCTTTATTAATGATTGTTAATGACTGTAAGCACGTGAACAGCTCTGTGATCAGCTTGCTTGACCAACTTATAGCCGTCTTATATTGTTGTTTAGCGCCATCTAGTGAGCATTTAGATCTACAAGTTATTTTATACACACAAGATGTTATGTATTGTGTATGCTGGGTTTAATATCACACACACACCCTTGTGTGTTCTCTGGTGTTTGCTCTCATTTTTGTTAATCATTTCGTTTCACATCCTTTAGACAGAATTAAACACAATATCAGTGATGATACCTGCAGGTTCAGTTGTATTTATAGTTTCATGATGAGGTTTTCTCCCCATACAAATCTAATTCTGATGCTTGACCAGCAGATGTCAACCTCAGGGTTTAGCAGGGACCATGCACATCGAGAAAATATGTAGTCCTAGAATGAACAAAGTAATTCAGTAAGCAGGTAAACAATATATATTTTATTTATCAAATTGCACCACAGCATTTACAGCCTAATCTAATTTGCTTTGCCTCCCTAGCCTTGCATTTCAAATACATACAACTCAACAACAAAAGAGACAGTACAAATTAAAGTATGTGCATTAAAAAACACAAAATAATACATTAAGGCACCATGAAACAGGACACGCCAGATCATTCATGCTACATCAATGATCCATCTAAGGAAAGTGGTTCGTTTTAACTTTGATTCCAGACAAGATCCAGTTTGAGTTTCCCAGGTAAATAATTCCACATTTTAATCTCCCAAATAGAAAAAGCTGTTTGTCCAAAGGGGGATTTACGTAAGGGCACCTAACAACTCCCACTGGGTGCTCCATGTGTAACGCTCCCAGTGGAAGTCACTGTGGAGCCTAATTAGGCATTTATAGATTAATCACAAATGACTAACTCCACTATGTTTAATTTCCTAAAAACATGGCAATAATATGGTCTTACTATCCAAAATGTTTATTGCTCAATTGTATATCATCATAGAGGCATGGTTGCTGTGGAACGCTGCTTGTGACCAAGAGGTTACACAATAGCTTAAATTAGTAAAAACCAGTTTGCAACCAGTCCTTAAAATTAGATATTTTATGGGGCACCCTGGGGACAATTGTCGGACAAACGTTCCATCATTCAGGTTAATACTTTGTGGAATGACATACCTGAAATTGAAAACTTCATTTAATGTTGAAGTAGCCAAACAAATGGATGTATGTCTCAAGGAACTGAATTCAATTAAGAGCCAGTGGAGAGGCAGGTACTGCATCTGTGAAACACAAATATCCTGTGGTGGAAGAACATATGTACTCAAGTAGAAGTATATTACTGAGAAGTAAACGTACCGGTCTTAAAAGTATTAAATACAAAATATCCTTCTCAAAAATTACATTTACTTTTTAACTGTTGATATTTAACACATTATTGCACTGAAACATTGGAACATTAAACCATTTACCAAAAATGAGTAAAGCGAAACGGACAGAGAGGAAGACGGACAGCAACAACAACAGAAACAACTATGCTATTAATATTAGCAGTGATGGTCCAGCAGTACCATGGCAGGAGGCTCCACCAGGATCCATGAGAACCTGTGAGATGAGAAAGCACAAGAACTCCGGGGAAGAAGTGAAGTTAGTAACATGCATTAATGGGACATGAATGAGTGCAGAAAGAGAGAGGAAAGGAAGAGCAGGAGTTCCAGTCGACCAATGGAACAATCCCAAATAGTCTAGGTATAGCCAGCCATCAAAAACTAAGAGATGGTTCCCAGCGACTCCACCTGATCCAGCTTAACTACTAAAGCTATCAAAGAGGAACGTCTTGAAGCCTAACTCTTAAATGTGCCGAGAGGGCTGTTCCTGCTCCTGAACCACAACTCGGAGCTGGTTCCCACAAGAGCGGAGCTTGGTAACTGAAGGCTCTGGCTCCTGTCTTCTACTTTTCAGAGACTAATAGGAACACGCAGGCAGCCCTGATAATACAGGAATTGCAGCGCAATCCTTGATAGAACGATTAAATGTGACACATAGAATGCATTCTGGTCCCTAGACACGCTGCCTAATCTTATATATTCTTAATCCATTAGGGGTAATATACGGATCTGGACCGTCGTCTCTGAACACCCTCGCCCTCGCAATGAGGCCTCTCACAAGTCCTGTCACCCCCGCGTGTTCACAATGTGCTGGCCATTTATCTCCAAGCCAGACTGTGTGCAGAACGACTGGAGTACTCGGAGGTTTAATTGGGGTAGCATCGAGGATACCTGCTCGGAGCAGTTTAGGAAATGACAGAGATCAAGATTGCCTTGGACCAACATACCTCGGGGTAGATTATATATTCACACCTTTCGTACGTAACGTTTCACGGTGGTTACACGTTGCAACAGTTACACTGGATAAGCCAGTTGACGGCCAGTGAACACTTCATCCTGGTGCAGAGGTCTTCAAACTTGGTCAGAGCCTGTACGAGCCTAATAATTTTACATTGCATAGACAAAAGGCTAAAACTCCAACAGAGTTAGCAGACAGATACAAAAGAGAGAGGTGGGGCTCAAAGCCAGTGTGTATGTGAGTCAGCGTAGGACCCAATGCACCAGACTTAATTAAAGAGGCCCTCCCCATCACAATCCGTGTAACCATGGAGATGCTACGTCATGCGCAAAAAAAGTGCAAAAGATCAGCTTTAAAAAGACTAGTAACGGATGGCACAGCACGGACATTTGACCGTAAATCCAAACAAAGACGAACAAGAGCCATAGCATCGTATAAGGATGAGTCACTAATAGCAAAGCTGGGATACGTGATAAAAGAGTACTTCCCAAACTGATGTCGGAGCCACCATACACCGAATAAAAACGCACCTTCACCACATATCGCAACCATGATTCTTAGTTAATGCGTAAATGGACTGTAACTTGTATACTCGTCGCCTTTCTAGTCGTCCGCAAACCCCCACTGAAGCCTTTACACCTCCAACACCCCACACTCACCCAAATTCATCCACCTTCACATCGCCTGAACGCGAAAGCAAGGTGTCGTAAAGTAGCTTAGAGGAGTCTAAAAATAGTGGAAATACAAAACTCAAATACAACATAAGCTGGTCTTGCTCAAATATCTGCAATGTAAATTACCCTGGTTCTTTAGTCAAAAAGCTCGCTTCAAATATTCTAACATTTCTAGTCCTCTCCCGACCACTTCACACTTTACACTACGTGCCACCATTCACCCTTTCAACACACATTAAACGACAGCGATGGCAAAACAGCGAGCGAGCAAAAACTAACCTCAAAAATGTTATTTCCACCGATGCACCAGCATCGGGAGCAAATATTTTTTGGCGTTCAGTAATCTTGCTCAAGGAGTACTTCCACGACATGCATCGGATCAAACCCAACACTTTTCCAATTAGTGGGGACGACCCCCGCTCTGCCGTCCTGAGCAACAGCCGCCCCAAAGTTAGTTACAAATCATCATTATTGAATCATCCATACTCTGCAAGTCCGAACGGAGATCAAGTCCTCCCGGAATCAGGATCAGTTAAAGACTGATGGAGTACTCCACATAGCTGGCGGCCCATTGACTCGCAGCATTACCTGGGTGGACTTCCCACTCCGCTCCACCGCCTGCTCAGGTGTCACTGCTGCTGGATCCCAGCTGGTTACGTGTACCTGAACCATGCAGCTGGTTTGACACCCCGAACCAAGGTGGCCTGACTTGGCGCGCAAGCTGGAGGGACATTGAACAGAAGTTTTATATCCAATCCAATCCAATCCCACTTCTCACTTGTATAATGAGCACCTGATTTTACGCCAAACACCACAGTTGTCCAAAAGTGCTGCACAAAAGCTAAGCACAGATAAATAATAACACAAATAAAAGACAATAACGCATGAAGTAGACTGCAATAAAAATAATACAATGAAATAAGCATGTATACACATAAATCAACACATCTACGTGGATGATAAAAGCCAAAGAGACGAGGTGGGTTTTAACAACGAGATTTAACAAGACAAAGAGACAGTCGACGCGAGGCCCTGCCCTGATGTGCCAGCGGCAGTTCGTTCCACAGGTTTTGGAAGCTGCAATGACCAAAATGCTCGATCCCTCTGGCTTAAGCCTTGGCTCTTGGCCGACTACTCAGGAGCAGCCTGGTCAGCCTGACCCTGAGAGATCGAAATAATAGAGAAGATAGATAAGGGGTGCCAGGCAGCTCCAGAGAGGTAAGAAGATGGGGCAAGAGACACAATTCAAGGCTTTTAACAAGCAAAATAAACATAAAATTCCAAAATGAAATCCTAAAATGGACGAGAGACAGAAAAACAAGTGGAGTGAAGCTAAAATTAAGATGAAATGTGCTCATACTTGCTTAATACCCACTTAGTCCCATCTACCTCCTGATTATGATTTTTACAAACAAGTCTTCTTTGCATCACATTTGTTGTTGACACCTCACCAAACAAAAACAGAGATACAGATAAGACCCACGACAACAACCGAATCAACAGCACCCGGAGAATGGCAACGCACCAGCTGATGAAGAAAGCAAAACAGACAGACATATGAAATTTACCATCGAACAAAAAAAAAACACGTTGACTGATTTAATAGTTGATGCATTAAGATCTAAAAGGACAGACTTACCTTCCGTTTTTTTTCTTATTTCAGCCTTACCAAACAGGATACATAGAAACCTTTTCCTCACCTTCATTTCGTCTTATACTAGGAATACTGGAGATTGGGGATATATGTGGGATTGGTACGATCACTTATTCATGAGATTTGGTTGACACTATTATGACTGTTATTCAACTATTTAAGAACAAGACTATAGCC